TGAGGGATTGATGTTTCACCTATACCTGGAGAAGAGCTTGAGTGGGATTATTGAAATTTGAAAAGCGTTTCTGGAAGGCTGTGGTGCCTGGAGGATCTGTGAGAGGGATCCATTATTGCTCTTTGATCCGCAAGGGTCGAAGGGATGAGGTGAGAGGCTAATCCAGAAGGTGGTTGGATTCACAAGCTCTATCTACACTCAGATACCTGCACGATTTGGTTCACCTGTGGTCACTTTGCAGTATTATTGGAAACACCGTTACCATTTTTGTTCACCTTCAACATTTAATTGGACTTTCTGTGCGTTTAATAAGCAATTATTTCACTTCACATTTTTTTCACCTTCAACATTTATAGATTTGTTTTTCTGTGCGTTTAATAAGCCATTATTTCACTTCACATTTGCACGTGTGATATAACTATATGTATGTGTAATTTATGCACATGCGTATAGATTTTAGTTTGTGTTTTTATAATTTTTTTTGGGGGTGTTTGATGTGATAATTTTTGTTATCATTAAGCACTTATATATATTTATTTACATAATATTGTCACTATATTGATTTATATTATTGGATTCCACATTCACTTTAATTTTGAATGTAGCGCAGCATTTATATGGTTTATAGATAGATAGATAGATAGATATAAATATATATACTGCATGTTGAAATGTGGTTTTTATTTATTACAAAATAAGAAGAGAATTTAATGAATTCAACAAGGTTTCAGAATCAGTTTTTCCATTTGATCAGATAATCACAATATTGGATTACTTTACTAAAAACCGATGTAGCAAGTAACACAATAGTAAGATGAAACGTGAGAAATACACATAACAAATAAAAAAGCTTGCTCAGTATTTTCCCTTGGCTATACAGGGCAGTACCTAAATGCAATGAGCTGGCACTGCACGCTGCCAATCAAAAGTGGCTGAGGTATTCCCCCCCCCCCCGCCCAGCAGCAACATGCCCCTTATACAGTGGGGCAAAAAAAGTATTTAGTCAGCCTCCAATTGTGCAAGTTCTCCCACTTAAAAAGATGAGAGAGGCCTGTAATTGGCATCATAGGTAGACCTCAACTATGAGAGACAAAATGTGAAAAGAAATCCAGACAATCACATTGGCTGATTTGGAAAGAATTTATTTGCAAATTATGGTGGAAAATAAGTATTTGGTCAATATCAAAAGTTCATCTCAATACTTTGTTATATATCCTTTGTTGGCAATGACAGAGGTCAAACGTTTCCTGTAAGTCTTCACAAGGTTGGCACACACTTTTGCTGGTATGTTGGCCCATTCCTCCATGCAGATCTCCTCTAGAGCAGTGATGTTTTGGGGCTGTCGCTGGGCAACACAGACTTTCAACTCCCTTCAAATGTTTTCTATGGGGTTGAGATCTGGAGACTGGCTAGGCCACTCCAGGACCTTGAAATGCTTTCTTACGAAGCCACTCCTTCATTGCCCGGACGGTATGTTTGGGATCATTGTCATGTTGGAAGACCCAGCCACGTTTCATCTTCAATGCCCTTGCTGATGGAAGGAGGTTTGCACTCAAAATCTCACAATACATGGCCCCATTCATTCTGTCCTGTACATGGATCAGTCGTCCTGGTCCCTTTGCGGAGAAACAGCCCCAAAGCATGATGTTGCCACCCCCATGCTTCACAGTAGGTATGGTGTTCTTTGGATGCAACTCAGCATTCTCTCTCCTCCAAACATGATGAGTTGTGTTTCTACCAAACAGTTCTATTTTGGTTTCATCTGACCATATGACATTCTCCCAATCCTCTTCTGGATCATCCAAATGCTCTTTAGCAAACTTCAGACGGGCCCAGACATGTACTGGCTTAAGCAGGGGGACACGTCTGGCACTGCAGGATCTGAGTCCCTGGCGGCAGTAGTGTGTTACTGATGGTAGCCTTTGTTACGTTGGTCCCAGCACTCTGCAGGTCATTCACTAGGTCCCCCCCCCCCCCCCCATGTGGTCCTGGGATTTTTGCTCACCGTTCTTCTGATCATTTTGACCCCACGGGCTGAGATCCTGCGTGGAGCCCCAGATCGAGGGAGATTATCAGTGGTCTTGTATGTCTTCCATTTTCTAATTATTGCTCCCACAGTTGATTTGTTCACACCAAGCTGCTTGCCTATTGCAGATTCAGTCTTCCCAGCCTGGTGCAGGTCTACAATTTTGTTTCTGGTGTCCTTCGACAGCTCTTTGGTCTTCACCATAGTGGAGTTTGGAGTGTGACTGTTTGAGGTTGTGGACAGGTGTCTTTTATACTGATAACAAGTTCAAACAGGTGCCATTGATACAGGTAATGAGTGCAGGACAGAGGAGCCTCTTAAAGAAGAATGTACAGGTCTGTGAGAGCCAGAAATCTTGCTTGTTTGTAGGTGACCAAATACTTATTTTCCACCATAATTTGCAAATAAATTCTTTCCAAATCAGCCAATTCTCATTTTGTCTCTCATAGTTGAGGTCTACCTATGATGCCAATTACAGGCCTCTCTCATCTTTGTAAGTGGGAGAACTTGCACAATTGGTGGCTGACTAAATACTTTTTTGCCCCACTGTATAAGTTCGGCTGCGAGGCAGTGAAAAGATGCTTAGGATTAGCGGTGTGCAGTGACAGCTTCCTGGCAGGATAGCTCAGGTGGATTTGGACTGGGATCCGAACATGTCACAGCTCATCCCTAGTAAAGACACTAATCTATGTACTTAAACTGATGTGTTTCCAAACACAGCATAATAGGCAAAATACAGAAAATACAAAGGGGTTAAAGCACTGGGAGCATAATTATGAGCCATTTAAGGAAAAATACAGCAATTTCAGGCATCCCTGCCATTTTTTGATATCTGTGCACTAATACCTTTGTACTTTGTGTATTTTTTCTATTTTGGTATTTTGGGGAACACAGTTGTTTATATGCATAAATTACAAACTTTACCTTTGGTGACAGAAGGGCTGGTTTGAGTATTTTAAAAACTGCTGATCTACTGGGATTTTCATGCGCAACCATCACTAGGGATGGTCCAAAAAACAGAAAATATCCAGTGAGCAGCAGTTGTGTGGACAAAAATGCCTTGTTGATGTCAGAGGTCAGAGGATAAAGGGCAGACTGGTTTGAGATGATAGGAAGGCAACAGTAATATGTCAATATGGACTAAAATCTCTGAGGAATGTTTCCAACACCTTGTTGAATCTATGCCATGAAGAATTACGGCAGTTCAGAAGGCAAAAGGGGGACCAACTAGCAAGGTGTACCTACCCACATGGAAGAAAAATATATTTTAAATATATGTTTAAAATATTCTTCCCAAATATATTGACATATATTTAAAACACTACAATTTTGTCCGTATAATATATATTTAAAAATATATTTTAATATATGTTGAAATGCGTTTTTTATATATTACAAAATATATGAAAAATATTTTTTAAAAATACATTTTCAAATATACTGTATGTCTTTAAAAATACATTTAATCTACATTTTTGGAATGCATTTACAAATATATGTAAAAAATATATGTTAAAATGACTTTTTTATATGTTAACAAAATCTTAAGAATATATTTAAAAAATATATATTTTTAAAAATATTTTTCATATATTTTAATATATATATAAAACGCATTTCAACATACAGTATATATATATATATATATATACTGAAATACATTTTGAAATATATTTAATACGGCCAAAATTGTAGTATTTCAAATATATGTCAATATATTTGGGAAGAATATTTTTAAAATATATTTTTCTTCCGTGTGGGTAATAAATTGGTCGGTGAGTGTATACAGTATATATGGGTTTTACCATGATCAGAGGTTCCACCAAGATACCCTGGAGCATCACACAAGTATACATTTAAAGCTGTGATAACATGTACAAGCTGTACTATGCGATTTGATTGTACTATCCCTTTATCTGTTAGAATTACCAAAACTATGTAATATGAAGACAAACCTAAGCATCCAATTCATTTTGTATCAAATAAAGCAGATTCTGCACTACAAGTTGTGTAGATGCTTGTACAATCCGATTGCATGGTGTATGGTCAGTGTAGGCCCATATGAAATATGAAATATAGGCTCATGGACACTTCTGTAGTCAGTGACTCTAAACTAGCAGCAGAATTGCAACCTTAATTTTATTACCACTAGTGGAAGTCACTATACCACTGCCTATAATGCAGCTAATAACAAGGAACTAGCAATGGAGTGATATATGGTTTGAACAACAGAGAATTGACTGTATAGCCCAATAAGTTGAGTATCAGCAATTGTTACAATGTTAAAGTATCGCTAGCAATACAATCACCTTTTTGGTATATGAGCTTTAATGTGAGTAAATGAAAAGGACAAGTACACCAGATTTTCAATTTTTTAAAACTAAAAAAAATAAAATACTGACCTTCAATCTGGAGCAGCCCTCGCAGTGCCTATTTTTCACCACAAGATGTCATTAGTCTTCCATATTGAATTATGGCCATCATTACCCAACCATTAGAGCTCATTTACATGGCCAGCCATGTGGTGGCAAAAACAGGGGTCTCAGGAGGTGACAAAACGAAAATCAGAAAATCAGAAAATCAGAAAATCAGAAAATCAAAGTCATGAAAAACTTCTAACAAAATTTTAAAAGTGTATGGCCAGCTTAAGAATAGGATCCAGCGAGTCACATGACCATCCAGGAGACATCTGAAAGAGGTAAGAAAAAACAACACATAAAACACCGCCAGCCTAAAGGCCTAAAGGCCCCCCCCCCCCCTTTACACTGGGGAGGAAGCTAGGACCCCAGTTTAGGGATTTAATTCAAGAGTTGTCAATATATTTTAGAATTCATTGACCAAATAATCCAAACTAGCACCAATCTCATACGGTCACAGGAAGAATGTATATCTATTAACTTTAAGATACAGTATGTATATACCATATTTTCAATCCTAAAGTCGTTCTAGAGGCAGAAGTTTTTTTTTTTTTTACCTTAATGCATTCTCTGCATTAAGGTAAAAAACCTTTTGCATGCAGCTCGCCCCCAGTCAGGGGCGGACTGACCATTTGGAAACTCGGGCACTGGCCGAGGGCCCAGGGTCAATAGGGGGCCCCATGGGATGCCCCTGGTACCTTTTTCATAGGGTTTCTTGAGTTTGGACAAGGACAAAGGGGCCCCATGATCCCCTATTGCCCGGGGGCCCCATGAGTTGTCAGTCCACCCCTGCCCCCAGCCTACCCTTATACTTACCTGAACCTGATCTCAATCCAGTGATGTGCACAACTGCAGCAGCTCTGTCCCTCCTCATTGGCTCAGGGATAATCACAGCCAATGCGGAGGAAGTGGGGGGTAAGGGCCAAGCCGCGTTCTGTGTGTCAATGGATACACAACAGGGCCGGGGAGCAAGCATGCACAAGTGTCCCCATAGCAAACGACTTGCTCTGGGGGCACTCGGTAGAGGGGAGGAGCCAGGAGTGTCAGCAGTGGACCCCAGAAAAGGAGGACTGCGGCTGTTCTGTGCAAAAACCATTACACAGAGCAGGTAAGTAAAACATATTTATTTGAATTTTAAAAAATCTGAGCATTTATAGTCAATTTAAACAGCTCAACTATAACAGCAACACGAGATACCTGCCATCTTGTATTTGCCAGCTCCACATTTAAACACACAAACAGTACTGCCCAAAAAAATCTACAATAAGATGACACAAAAGATAGGGGTTTAGGCCCCGTCACTTTACTGGAGCCTCTTAAAAGGACAAAGATGAAGATAAAAAAGAAGACAGTTTATTCAAATTAAACCACAGTATAAGCGATGTCTTTTGCTTTAATTGACCACTTAAATGATTTGACCCCTAATATATACAAACGCAGCAGATGGGAGAATTCATTTTAATGAAATCAGTGATCCTGAGCAATGTTAAAAACCACAACAAAGGGTTAACTAAGGAGCGTCTGACAGTTTCGATCACTGTATAAACTGTCCCAATTAGTTCAATCATTTCAAGCACTGCTGCTGTGCTGTCATCCTAATTTAGAAAGTGTGCCCCTACAGCTTTCAAGTACATGATGGATCATAAAGGTATTAATCAACATGGCATGTACACAAATCCACACCACAAACTTACAACAGGTACAACAATATCATATTTTAACAACTAAAAATCATAACTGCAATGAGATCACATCATGCTCCTACACTCATACAAGTAATCCATGTGCAAAGAAAATATACCATAACTAAGATTTTATATAAATGTTGTATGCAAAGCTAGCTGTCATTGTGGCCATAAATAGAATGAAAATGATGAAACCAGTGCCCACCCAGGAATAAGTTATGTCCAACTGGGATTTGCAGGGATCTTCACAATTCATCCAGTGGATTACTGTGAGCACATACTGTACATGGTAGAAAAAAAATTTGGAATTCATACCTAGAACTCTGTGTGTGAAATAGCAGAGCCATACGATTTCCTAAGCACTCCTCTTCCCAGGAAGCTCTCATCATCTGAGCTAAAGATGGGACATACTGTAAAGTGACAGGACATCAAATGACACTGTTCTGCCATCAATTTGCCATCTTTCTTCTTCAGTTTTTCCATCAAAGTTTATTGAGGCCAGTGGCACCGAAAGGAGGACCCCTGCTCCAATTTGGATTGATTCAGAAGCAATCGGATTAAATTGGAGCCATTTATGACCAGCTTAATGTTGACCTTCACTCAGTTTTTTTCACTTCCTTTCATCTTGCTCCTCCAAACCCATTTCAGCAAATTACAAAAAAAAATGTGAGAATGGCACCCCCCCCCCCCCTACCTGAAGCCTCAGGGCATTGTAGAACCCCGACAATAGACCAAAAGCGATTTCTCCTGCACTCCGGGACCCAGGCCGGTGGTGAATAGATGGAATTAAAACCTCCAGAGAAGCAACCACCGGAGTATCCAAGGTCGTGCAGCTCCAAACCAAGGCTGGGGAACCCCGAACAAACTGCGAAGTGAAACAAGAAGCGCACCAACCTTGTGCATTACCTCAGTAACCAAAATTTATTTAATGAAGGAAAGGTACTCACAAACAGCGAATAAAAACAGGCATGTAAGTCCACCAAGGGACTTCAAAGGAAAGAGGCCAGCGCGAATCCCATCATGGGGGTAGGTACTCAGTCCAGCTGACGCATTTCGAAGGTCATGCCTTCTTCCTCAGAGCTGCTGCTGAGGCATGACCTTCGAAACGCGTCAGCTGGACTGAGTACCTACACCCATGGGCAAAGAACACAGGCTATGCGCCCGGAGCCTCTAGTTCCTTCTGTGGCCTGTCAAGCTGCTTGCTCTGGGGGCACTTGGCAGGAGGGAAGAACCAGGAGTGCCAGTGGGGACATGAGAGGAGGAGGATCAGGGCTGCTCTGTGCAAAACAGGTTATACAACAAGTATAACAGGTTTATTATTTTTTTTATTGCTCTTAATATATCACTTTAAATGCATAATCATTTTGCCTTGTCCTGGATAACCTTCAGCATACAGCACATGCATTACAGCCCTTAAAACAGACAATTTGCAAAGTGCACACAACATTTTCAACTTTAAAGCTGTAACAGATCACATAACGTAACAAATGTGTACTTAGCATGTATATTCTTGTGACAGATCTGCTTTAAATATTATTTTATTTATTTCAGGTACTTATATAGCACTGTCAATTTATGCAGCACTTTACATATGTATTGCACATTCACATCAGTCCCTAACCCACAAGGGGTGTACAGTCTAAGGTCCCTAACTCACATTCATACATACACATATTAGGGCCATTTTAGACAGGATCAGGGGCAGACTGACCATTTGGAAACTCAGGCACTGCCTGAGGGCCCCTGGTACCTTTTTCATAGGCTTTTTTGAGTTTGGGCAAGGACACAGGGGCCCCATGATCCCCTATTGCCTGGGGGGCCCCATGAGTTGTCAGTCTGCCCCTGGACAGGATCCAATTAACCTACCAGCATGTCTTTGGAGTGTGGGAGGAAACCAGAGAAAACCCATGCAGGCACAAGGAGAACATGCAAACTCCAGGCAGGTGGTGCTGTGGTTGGGATTTGAACCAACGACCCTGGTACTGCCAGGCGGGAGTGCTAACCATTTAGCCACTGTGCTCCCACCAGCATTCAACTCAAACCTTACTAAGGTCAGTTCAATTATGTCCTTATATCTGTTAAAGCAAAACCTTCTCTGTAGGTATGGCCCACACAGGATTGTGAGAGTCTGCTCTGTACTGTAAGTAATAGATGGGAGGCGAGGTAGTGGATTATGATGATTTCTCCTAGGAAACTCATTTTTAGAACAGTTTTCACAGATAATTCAACAGATTCAAACATAACTCCAGTCAAACAGCTTTTAAGGGAAACTCTTAAAAGAAATAAAGAGCTCGTAAGACCATAAAAAGCTCTTATTATCACACAGCGATTTGTTTGCTCAAGCAAGCTGTAGTTATAGCAGTCCCCACCTTATCATGCCATTGGTGACATCAACTTTCATAGGAAGAGAGGGGTGTCATTTTATTTGTCCACAATGATTGCTCTCATATCTGTCCATATCTGACATACTGCTCCTTGAGTTCTTAGCAGATCTATAAATTGTTGGGCAAAAAATACTCATATAATTGAACCAATCTGATGATTTACTGTGATTTTAACCACTTGCCCTCCTGAGGATTTACCCCCCTTCCTAACCAGGACTTTTTTTGCGTTACGACGCTGCGTTAATATGACAATTGCGCGGTCATGCAGCGCTGCACCAAAATTAAATTTACATCCTTTTTTTCCCACAAATTGAGCTTTCTTTTGGTGGTATTTGGTGGTAAAAAAAACTATATTTTTTGCTTTTTGCTATTAAACATGTCCAGTAAAAAAATTTTAAAAATCAAATTTCATCATAAATTTATGCCAAAATGTATTCTGCTACATGTCTTTGCTAAAAAAAAAATCCCAATGCGTGTAAATTAATTGGTTTACATGAAAGTTATAGAGTTTACAAATGGTGGTATATACAGTGAAGGAAATAAGTATTTGATCCCCTGCTGATTTTGAATGTTTGCCCACTCACAAAGAAATGATCAGTCTAAAAATCGAATGGTAGGTGTATTATAACACTGAGAATAGCAACACAAAATTCAAAGGAAATGCATGTCTAACAAATTAAGCACTGATTTCCATGTTTATGAGGAAAATAAGTATTTCATCCCCTATCATTCAGCAGGATTTCTGGCTACCAGGTGTCTTTCATACAGGTTACAAGATGAGATTAGAAGCAGTCTCTTAAAGGGAGTGCTGCTAATATCATGTTGTTACCTGTATAAAAGACACCTGTCCACAGAAGCAATCAAACAATCAGATTCCAAACTCTCCACCATGGCAAAGACCAAAGAGCTGTCCAAGGATGTCAGGGACAAGATTGTAGACCTACACAAGGCTGGACTGGGCTACCAAACTATCGCCAAGAAGCTTGGTGAAAGGGTGACAACAGTTGGTGCAATCATTCGCAAATGAAAGAAACACAAAACAACTGTCAGTCTCCCTAAGTCTGGTGCACCATGCAAGATCTTACCTCGTGGAGTGTCAATGATCATGATAACAGTGAGGAATCATCCCAAAACTACACGTGAGGATCTTGTCAATGATCTCCAGGCAGCTGGGACCACAGTCACCAAGAAAACACTTGGTAACACACTACGCCGACAAGGATTGAAATCCTGCAGTGCCCGCAAGGTCCCTCTGCTCAAGAAAGCACATATCCAGGCCCGTCTGAAGTTTGCCACTGAACATCTGTATGATGCAGAGGAGGACTGGTTGAAAGTGTTGTGGTCAGATGAGACCTTAATCTGACTGAAAATCTGTGGAGGGAGCTGAAAGTTCGAGTTGTCAAATGTCAACCACCAAACCTTAATGACTTGGAGAGGATCTGCCAAGAGGAGTGGGCCAAAATCCCTCCTGAGATGTGTGCAAACCTGGTGGCCAACTACAGGAAACGTCTGACCTCTGTGATTGCCAACAATGGATTTGCCACCAAGTACTAAGTCATGTTTTGTTAAGGGGATCAAATGCTTATTTCCCTCATGAACATGCAAATCAGTGCATAATTTGTTAGACATGCATTTCCTTTGAATTTTTTGTTGCTATTCTGTCTCTCGATGTTACAATACACCTACTATTTGATTTTTAGACTGATCATTTCTTTGTGAGTGGGCAAATATTCAAAAATAGGCTGGGGATCAAATACTTATTTCCTTCACTGTATACTGGGATTTTTTTTTTTTTTACTAGTAATGGCAGCGATCAGCGACTTATAGCGAGACTGCAGCGGACATTCTGACACTGGGGGGAACTGACTTGGTGTCACTGACATCCCCAGTGACATCAATACAGTGATCAGTGCTCAAAAAAAGCACTGACACTGTACTAATGGCACTGGGCAGGAAGGGATAAACATAAGGGGCGATCAAAGGGTTAACTGTGTGCAGGGAGTGTCTTACTAGGGGGCTGTGTCAGTGTGCTTCACTGTAATCACACTGCTTTGGATGGCTGTGCTGTGAACAGCCATCCAAAGCAGTGTGCCCAAGCTGATAGGGAGAACTGTTAGTAAACAAAACAGTTCTCCTCCCCGTCGGAGATCCTCGGAAATCACGGGGCGACGGCGAGTAATCATCGGCCAGGAACTGGTAATTGACAGCCGCAGCCGCGAATGAAGGCATGGGTAAGGTACGTGCGCGGCTCGTATATATATGTGATTTTGCGAACCCGTGCCTCCGTGTAGCAGTATTTCTGCAATAGGGCGGTCGGGAAGCGTTAAAGTGGTTGTAAACCTCAGACATGAAATATGAACAAAGGATATCCCTCTATAGTGCGTCTCAATTAAGATCGCTGTTTCATTTCTGTATGCTGCTTCATTCCTCTGCTATCAGCAGAAATCATTTCTGACAAGTTTTCCTGAAACCAAGACACAAAAAGGGAAAGGTAGGGGCCTCCAGCATGCGGCCTGTATTTGATAGCCTCAGCTCTGTTCCTGTGTACTGTGTTAAGAAGGGTGTGTCCCTTCCCTCCAATCAGCTCTCAGAGTTCTCCTCACTGAGCTCTGCAGTGTCTGATTTCAGCTCTCGGCCCTTGTTTCCTGAAATCTCAGACAAGCTTTTTAAATTCTGGACTTTGAATTGCTTTGAAGAGACGAGTGCTGACAAACAGGTACAACTCATGTAGGTGGATTTGTTTAATCTCTGTGTAGCTCCTGAGGTCAGTCACTTCATTGCATGTATGTAAGGGTTTACAACCACTTTACAGTGATGTGAAAAAGTATATGCCCCCTTCCTGATTTTTTATTTTTTTTGCATATTTTTCACACTTAAATGATTCAGATCATCAAACAAATTTTAATATTACACAAAGATAACCCTAGTAAATAATAAATGCAGTTTTTAAATGATGATTGCTAAACCATGAATGAGCTGTAATTAACCACATTTTTTGTAAAGTAGAGTAAACCACTTCCTAACCGCACTATAGATGAATGATGGCTACAGCGCGTTCGTCCAGTTCTGGGAGAGCGTCATATAACATCCTCCCAGCCCCTGCACGCCCCCTGCAGCGCGCACCGGGTTCTCTGACACCGTAAAGGGCCAATAACAGCAGCCTTTTACCACGTGATCAACTGTGTCCAATCATAGCTGATCACCATGTGAATACATTTGTGGGTTATCGGCAGTACTTTCCACGCACTGTCACAGTGTGAGGAAAGTACTGCCCATAACTGGCAAGTCTGAAAGGAGACATCTTCATCCTGAAGGAGAATATCTGGCCATCAGTTTGCAACCTCAAGCTCAAGCACTCCTGGGTTATGCAGCAGGACAATGACACAAACACACCAGCAAGTCCACCTCTGAATGGCTAAAAAAAAGTAAAATGAAGGTTTTGGAGTGGCCTAGTCAAAGTCCAGACTCAAATCCGATTGAGATGCTGTGGCATGACCTTAAACAGACTGTTCATGCTCTAAAACCCTCCATTGTGCCTGAATTAAAACAATTATGCATAGAAGAGTGGGCCAAAATTCCTCCACAACAATTTGAAAGACTCATTGCCAATTATTACAAACACTTGTTTGCAGTAACCAGTTATTAGGTTTAGAGGGCAAATACTTTTTCACATAGGGCCGGGCAGGTTTGTACAGCTGTTTTCTTTGTGTAATATTAAAATTTGTTTGATAATCTGAATCATTTGCAAAAAAATAAAAAATAAGGAAGGGGGCAGATACTTTTTCTCAGCACTGTAAGTCCAAATAATAGCAAAGATACATGGGATTGTCTACACCAGTGTTTCTCAACCTCTTTGCAGTCAAGGCACACTCTAAAATTCTGCACAATCTTCAGGCCCCTATTACAAAATGTAAAAAAAAGTAAACAAATAGTTTTACAGTATTCAGCAACATCTGCACATGTAGGACACCCAACATCAGAGGTGATTTATTCTTCCAAAGCAAATACACCTTTTGTACACTGGTACTGACTAGTGTTCCAATGTTTCTCTTCTCCCTCAGTTAATCCCCTTCACTCAGCTAATGTGAGGCACAAGCAAGGATGATGTGCAGGGGCCGGATGTCCTTCTTATCAACTGATGACATCATTAGTTTTTTATGTTGGCGACAGCTAGAAAGTTGTAATGGTGCACAATGAAAATCTGTGGTTTTATGTAACTAAAAGGCAGGCTTGTATACAATTTTTGGGCAATTTTTAGGGATTTTGCCAAGGCATCCCTGAAGATACCTGAAGGCACCCCAGGGTGCCTGGATACCCTGGTTGAAAAAGGCTGGTCTACACTGATCTCCAATCAATATTTCAGATCACAAATCAATTTGCTAAGCAAGAAAATTTATTACGTTCATCTACCTATGTGCATTAACTGTTAAATAATGGGTTGGGTAAATATAAGCACACTTTGCAATTTAATTTGCCTAGAATAATCCTAATAAACGTTGTATGGCTGCTGTAGTTCTCTTGTAATTTTGGCTTTAATCACAACCACAGCCAGTAAAGCACTAAAATGTATCTAAAGTCAAAACTTTTTTTATTTTTTGTTTTGGATAGATGGGGATTGGTTTTAAACACCTGTCAGGATTTTTTTGGACGATCTCCCTTCACTGCCTTCACTAGAGTTGCACCAGGAAGTGAGAAGAAACCTTTAAAAAGTGAGGTGAAATGCCCACTTAACCTCCCTGGCGGTATGATTATTTCAGATTTTTGGTGCTGAAAGCGGTACCATTATTTTGCATGGAAATTTGGCGTTTTATATTGTAGGCCTGTAATTCTTAGGAATAACTCACTGAAATCTGTCTGAACAAGAGTCTAGTAAACATCCGGGTAGGATAAAACTTGAAACACGAAATCATAAATTATAATTTAATAAATAATCCTAAAAAATAATAATATAATAATAAATTTAATTCAATAATATAATCAAACCAAAAAACACTAAAATTTGAAATAGAGCGCCAAGTTTGCACATCACTGAGCAAAGTCGCAAAATCGTTTTCAGTGTCTGATGAAGAATTTCCCCACAAATCATTATCACTCAATTCTGCAAGTGGTTCTGATTTACTATCGCTGTTCTCTAGCTGGTCTAAAACCGCTTTTGACCTAAAGGGACGCTTTTTGGATGCCATGGACGTTTCTCAGTTTCCAGGCAGAAAGAACAGTAAAAATGCAGGCAGGGCACAGGACAAAGGACTAGGGACAGAATATATGTGAAATGGTTTGATACAGTAATGTTTTACTATGTGATTTTAGTGAATGTCACTTTTTGTCATTTTCAAATTTCCCGCCGTTCCGTCCCCCGTACGTCCCCCGTACGTCCCGACGCTCACAGAGGACAGAACCCAGATGACAGATGCCGGCATACGCCGGATTACATTACCGGGGACACTGCAGGAGGGACATCGTGGGAGCGCAGGACAAGGTAAGTGATCGAGGGATCATGGAACAGCGCCACATGGTATTCCTGAGTGTAGCTCGGGGTTACCGCTTGTGGTACTGAAACTTTACCCCGAGCTACACTCGGGAATACCTCCAGAGGGGTTAAACAGATTGAATTTCCATTGCTTTCTGTCCCAGTGACAAAGATAGCCAGGGAAAAAAAGAGAGGTTGAATCTCCCCAGTGGAGACAGACAACAATAAAAATGTACTTTTAACCTTTCCCCACTCTATTAAAAAAAAAAAAAAAAAAAAGTTCTCAGTAAGGATACACTTTAACCACTTGCAAACCACCCGCGCCGCAATGTACTGCAGACAGGCAGCCCGCACAGGCAAAGACATGTAGCAGAATGCATTTTGGCCAAAATTTATGAACAAATTTGATTTTTTTTTTGCATATTTTTTAAAAGATAAAAAGGGGAAGGGTTTGTGTTAAACAAAACTGAACCTAAAGTGTTACTAAACCCAGGACCCTGCATTCACTATATCTGGTCTCCCACAGTACACAGGACATGGAAATTCAATTATTTTAGTAAATATAAACTTTATAAACTAAATACCTTTTCTTATCAGAAGTTAGAGCACTTCTATAAGTGTCCAGCAGAGCACTAGTTAAAGCTTGTAGGAGGGGTTTTTTATTCTCCCCTGATTGCCCTATGATGATGCAGGACCCCTGACCTCTGTCTGGACAGTGCTGATTGGCCCTGTGCTGATCACATGCACTCTGCCAAAAAAAAAAAAAAAACTCTCTAGCAATACACACCAAATTGAGCATGTGTGGTTTGCCCCTAAGGCTCTGTTGTATCAGGAAATGGATTGGGGACTGTGGAAGAAGGGGAGGGTCAGAGAAGACAGGATCAAACAGCCTTTTTAAACAATGCAGAGGAATAACCCCTTAGGTTCCACAGTGAGTATAACAAGCATGCTTTACTGCATATACAGACTGATTTTACTGTTGTGGGTTTAGTAACATTTTAAGCTTTAGAGAAAGTAATGCAGTGAGAGAAATATGGGGCTGTTCTTCATAAAACTCTAGGCTGAATAACAGCTAAGAACAATTAGAAATTTGCAACAGCAGGAAATTTCAGGAAGAGTGCAATCAAATAAATATACTCCATGAAGGACTTAGAAAGGGGACAGACCTTCTGCTGATCTTTAGCCCTGGTTCACACTAATGCGGTGCAGCACATCGCATATGATTCCCACAGGAACTGCACTGCATTCCTGTGCAAATCACATGCAATGTCTGTGCAGTGCGATTTGAGCCTTACATTATTCCCTCATTATTTCATGTCTGGACTACTGCAACTCCCTTCTCACCGGCCTACCTCATCACAGACTATCCCCGCTTCAGTCTATCCTGAACTCAGCGGCCAGACTCATCCACCTTACCAACTGCTCCGCTTTTACCACCCCCCTCTGTCATTCCCTCCACTGGCTCCCGATTGCCCAACGCATTAAATTCAAACTACTAACTCTGACATACAAAGCCATTCATAACGCCGCCCCAAACTACCTCACCGACCTGATACCCAAATACCACCCGTAATCTTCACTCCTCACAAGACCTCCTACTTTTTAGCTCCCTGGTCTCCACCTCCCACGCCCGACTGCAGGACTTCTCCAGGACTTCTCCCATCCTCTGGAACTCACTACCTCAATCCATCAGACTGTCACCTACCCTCCTCACCTTTAGGCGCACCCTGAAAACCCATCTCTTCAGGGAAGCCTACCCCACCCTGACCTAACAGCCAATCTCCTCCACCCCTCCCACCACTCCTCCCACAACAGCCACTTCCTCCTGTACGACTTTCCCCTCCCTCCTAGATTGTAAGCTCGAAAGAGCAGGGCCCTCGAACCCCTCGTGTATTGTCTTGTTACTGTATTGTCTCATGTTCTGTCCCCCACTATAATGTACAGTGCTGAGCAAACCTTTCTGGCGCTATATAAATACTGTATAATAATAACAATACATCGCATCGCATCCGCACCAAAAAAAGGTGCAGGACCCTTTTTTTTTCACGCACCTGATTTGTATCCCATGGGTGAACCTAATGTTCTTATCCACTGAGTTTATATGTTCACCAAAAGCAGATACTTCAGCTGTTTTAATATTGACTCAAGTATCATCCACATATCTAAACCAATAATTCTATATTGTTCCCTTAAATGAATGTAAGGCTCTCCTCCCCACCACCCCATGTAGAGGGTAGTCACGATGGGAGATCCCATTGCTCAGGGTCTTATCCAGTTTCAGATATTACCTTACAGTTTTGATAGCGGTTTTTTTTAAACTGATCGTGTTTTATGATATCATCATCTCCTCTGTCTCTAACTTCAATCCACAGACCTTCTTGACAAATTTGTCAGTCATGAATGTGGGGTACCCTATTACCAACTAAAGGAGCTAAAGTTGTAGTCAAATCTTAGCAATGATATAGAGTATGTCACTGTCAATCACTCTTAGAGGGGCTGTTCTTCATAAAACCCTAGGCTGAATAACAGCTAAGAACAACTAGAAATTTGCAACAGCAGGAAATTTCAGGAAGAGTGCAATCAAATAAAATTAACATTTTCTCAAAGGAATACAAAACATTCAGGTTAGTGGGAGAGATACTGCTTTAAAAAACGTATACCAGGACGATCGCTATAAAAATGGTAATTACTGTCAGTTTGGGAAAAAGGCATGAGAATGCCAGTGTACTTACCTTGCCACTAGAGCCCCATGTAAGTAAAGCTGTAGTGTATCTACTATGACAGATCTTAAACCAGAACTTTCAGTGTTGAGGGGAATTTTCCTTTAAATGAGGAAAAACTACCCTAGTAAAGAAGTATTACTTGAGTTCTACTTTTGCACTAGAAATCAAACCCCTAGCACTTTTTCTTCAGAGTACACCAGGATCAATCATAGTCTCTTGAGTTTCCGCAACCACTAACATCTTATGTTGTTGTCCCAATTTCTGTAAAGATACATCTTAATAACACACATTGACAGTTTCAATGTGAATCACATCATTTCAAATAAACACAACCACGTGGAGTTAGAGGTGCAGATATGTATGGTTTCCAAACCTAAAAGCAACATTCTGCCAAATTTCAATAACACTAGGGACAAATTATTTTAAGTATTAAGGTTTCCTTGACAAAAGTAAGACTAGACCCACGCAATATCTGACACTGTCTAATTTTACTGACAAGCACAACTCATGCCAAGACATCTGAATGTGACATGTTTTAGCCTGTCAGGCATTTCCGAAGGACATTTATCTCCTTTATGATTCATGTGCCAAGATGATTGTATTTGACATACAACATATATCCCTGGGTAGTTTGTGTTTGAACATTGACTTTGATAGCAGCAGATATATGCAGTTTTGTGTTACAAGATTAAATTTTCATCAGTAACATCCAATTCAAAAGATTCTAAAATAAACAGTGCAACAAAGTAAATGGTCTTGAAGAGGACCTGTCATCAGAATGAAATTAGGTTTTTATCTATATGCTGAAAAATATTATGTTTATTTTTAGTTTAATATTTCATCAGCTTAACAAAAACTAAGATTCAAGAATAGATATTTCCTCTCCCAACCCAGTTTTTTATTCTGAAAACATGTACAGGTAAACAAAAAAGGAAAAGTTAAGCTTTTTTTTCAATGTATATCTGATTTTAGAACCAATTATAGAACCAATACTATTGTTGACAATCTATTTCTTGTAACAGTTAAATGGACCTCACTTTGGTGGCTCATTAGCGTTGGTATTACTAAACAGAGTGGTCACCTTTAAATAGTAATCAAATGTATTCATTTTATTAGTGCATCTTGCTGTGTCTGCTGGCAGGATGGTTATGCTGTAATCCCTACTAAGTGTTCTAAGGGCCCCTCTTTCTAGTGGAATCAGGTTGGGGTGCTTTGGCACTAAATAGGACTTTTTATGCCATAAAACAATTCTAGTACTGTTAAGGCAAAGACCTTAGTCCTAGAGTTTTAATGCAAAGTTCATTTCTAACATAACAAAGCTGCTCATTTGGTTATAAACTTTAGGGTATGTTCCTGACATTCATTAGAATTGAGGAAGTCACTTGAATGAGAGGCAAAATGTCTTCAACATTACAGAACAAGTCTGGTTGAGTGTGACTAACTACTGCTATCTATAATATTTGAAAAAAAATTAAAACTATCACACCCATATGAGCTGATTTAACCACTTGCACTCCAGAGGATTTACCTCCCTTCCTGGCCAGGCCATTTTTTGCAATACGGCGCTGCGCTACTTTAACTGACAATTGCACAGTCATGCAATTCTGTATATAAATTAAATGTATGTCCTTTATTCCCCACAAATAGAGCTTTCTTTCTATGGTATTTGATCACCTCTGTGGTTTTTATTTTTTGTGCTACAAACAACAAAAGAGTGACAATTTTGAAAATAAAAAACAATATTTTTTCATTTTTCCTATAAAACATACAGTATCCAGTAAAAAAAATTTAAAATCTAATTTCTTCATAAATTCAGGCCAAAATGTATTCTGCTATATGTCTTTGCTAAAACAAAATCCCAATACATGTAAATAAATTGGTTTACGTGAATCTTATAGTGTCTAAAAATGGTGGTATATATACTGGAATTTTTTTTTATACTAGTAATGGCGGCGATCAGCGACTTATAGCGGGAATTCTGACACTGCGTGGGAACTGACGTTAATACAGTGATCAGTGCTGATAAAAGGCATTGACACTGTTCTAATGACACTGAGCAGGCAGGGGTTAACATCTGGGACAATCAAAGGGTTAACTGTGTGCTGTTTAACATGATGTGCTGTGTGTGTTTTACTAGGGAGACATGCTGCTTTGTATTTCTCTGCTGTGCAGGAATTCATATGATGTGCTGTAACGTGTAGAGTCGGCCAATGACGTCAATCTGCTAAACAGGAAGTTTACGAGCCGACATCTTGGAAATTCCTCAACACATTGAAAATACATTATAACAAGGTTTTTTTACTGTGGTGTCCCAGCAGGATGCTTTTAAATGTGAATGTACTTTGTTTGTTTTTTTAATAAATCACACTATATTTATATACTACACCATGGCAAGTGTTTCTGTTTACATATGCGGAGGATTTGTGGGATACAGAGGAGACGGGAATGTTTGCAGCAGAGTGAGGAGAAAAGTGGTATCATCTACACAGTATACTTACCCGGGTTAAAAGGGAAAGGCGGTATTTGACCTATGCAATTTGGGTCATAAAAGGAGGTGAGAATATATATATATATGTGTCTCTGGTGGAGGAGCACCTATAGGAATATATGTGGATATAAGCAAAAAAGAGGCATTGACACTGTTCTAATGACACTGGGCAGGCAGGGGTTAACATCTGGGACAATCAAAGGGTTAACTGTGTGCTGTTTAACATGATGTGCTGTGTGTGTTTTACTAGGGAGACATGCTGCTTTTTATTTCTCTGCTGTGCAGGAATTCACATGATTGATGTAACGCGTAGAGTGGGCCAATGACGTCAAGCTGCTAAACAGGACATTTACGAGCCGACATCTTGGAAATTCCTCAACACATTGAAAATACATTATAACAAGGTTTTTGACTGTGGTGTCCCAGCAGGACACTTTTAAATGTGAGTGCACTTTGTTTTTTTTAATAAATCACGCTATATTTATATACTACACTATGGCAAGTGTTTCTGTTTACATATGCGGAGGATTTGTGGGATACAGAGGAGACGGGAACGTTTATAGCAGAGTGAGGAGAAAAGTGGTGTCATCTACACAGTATACTTACCCGGGTTAAAAGGGAAAGGCGATATTTGACCTATGCAATTTGGGTCATAAAAGGAGGTGAGAATATATATATATGTCTCTGGTGGAGGAGCACCTATAGGAATATATGTGGATATAAGCAAAAAAGAGCACCTGTTTGGGAACAAATTATAAACGCACGGATCAAGCAACAATT